GAAGTCTATCAAAGACAGGAATACCCAATTACCTGTGGAGGCACATTTCTCACAAGAAAACCACTCTCTCTCCAACCTCTCAGTCCTGATCCTCAAAGAAAACTTACAAAACACTTCCTAGAGACAAGCCTATGAACTCCACTTCATCAACCTCCTGGATACTAAAAATCATGGACTAAATATAGACATTGGATTTATGACTCATTATAACATGCTTGACATCTGACTCCCTAAGTATTCATCCCCCTTCTCTCTCTTCCCCCTTTCCCACCCCCTCCCCAGCCTCTCTCTCACCCATTGACTCCTCAATCTACATTTTCACTAACTACTTGTCTTGTATGCGCACCAGACCAGCCTCTGGCTCCTTTACTTTTCATTCCATCCAGGAAGAGCACACAACAACTGCTGAAACTTCCTCAGACTGACAAAGGGTTTCTGAACCCGAAAGCTGGCTTAATTGTTTTCCAATTATTTAAGTTGGTCTAATAAAAGATATCAGATTCACCCAAAGAACCTTGTCTGCCTTGGTCCTTAGACCAACACGGCTACAACCTGCACCCCTGTTACATATACATATGCACACACTTGGCCTGATTAATCTGACTAACATCTATGCTAATTATTATTCATTCTCTCTGTTCCTTTCTGCAAGTTTCCTCAAGTCCTCTGTGTGACAAAGTAAATTGCAAAACTGTGTAAACAGAATGTTTGGTCACACTTTTCAGTCTGATGCTAATCTCACTGCTTGATGCCTATTTTAAAACCCAGTTTGCCCTTTTGTGCAACCCAAGTTAGGAACAACATTAAATAATGCTCTTTAAAACAGTTTGTACCAACTGTTTCCAAAAGTGAAATGTGTTATTTTATTGTTCTCAAGTATTTTCAATGAAGATCAAATGTCATTATTTAGGTAAAAATTGGAAGAAAGTAAAAAGAAGGGGGAAAATGGAAAACAATCCCTCATCTGTAGCTAAAATAAATTCATGTGTCTGCAACCCAGGCGACATTATCTTACCACAGTCTCCGGTTCTTCCAGTGTAACTTCACAAGTTCTGATAAGGTTATACAGAAGTGATGTAGTTTTTAGTATAAAAACTTACAGCACAAATGAAGCAGGTATCATGCCAAGTGTGTCCAAGAGCTTCAATGAATTTATCCCCTGCCTCAACAGGAAAATCACAGCCATGGCATTTTGTGCTGAACAAAGCAACATAATCTAAAATAAAAAAGCAAACTTTAAACGAACTCTGAAATAATCATATTACAAACTATGGTATAATCATATTACACCAAAAGAAACAGAGTTGTGCTTGGTAACGGTTCTTGGAATGTTTTTTGCTCAGAATTCCTTTCTACATCCCACTGAAACTCTCCCATAATGAAAATTCAGAGCAATTTTTCCCCCTCCCTTCCTTTCACATTTAATTTTGTTTAAAGAAGGAAAACCCACATAATTTCAGATCCTTGGTTATGAATATAAAAACACAAGGTTCAGCACATTCAATGTTCTGTTTCTCAATATTTGTAAATTAGCTGTAGCATGTATGTGATGTATAAGTCATAGGTACCAAAAACAGCAAGACAACATACTATGCATGGACTATGAAAAATTAAGGGTGCTGTAAAAAGGACATCTTACATTTACATGACTGGTGTATGTTTATATTCACCAATGGATATTTTATTATTATTTTAATGTTGGAATACCATCCTGTCTTACATTAAATAAAAATGAGTGTAGCAGCCATTAACACTGGTTAATACTAACTCACGTTAATATTTTGTTAATTTGGAGTAACTTTTATCTTGGAAAAGATATGGCAGAATCTTAAAAACTATGAGAATTTTTTTTAAAAGTCATTAAAGTCATTGAGGTTTCTAAGTACCTGGAGGAAAACAAGATGATCAGGAACAGCCAGCATGGTATCATCTGGAGCAAGCCATGCCTTACCAATGCAATTTCCTTCTAGGACAAGGTGATGAGCTTTGTGGATAGAGAGGGAGAGAGGGTGGAGAAAGGGGGACAGCAGAGGATATGATATACCTTGATTTTAACAAGGCTTTTGACCCTCTCTCCTGTGACCTTATTAGTAAGCTAAGGACATACAATCTAGATGAAAATACTGTAAGTTGGATACAAAACTGGTTGGATCAGTGTGTTCATAAAGTAGTCACTAATGGCTCAATGACTAGTTGGGAGGATGTACCAAGTGGGAGTCCCTAAAGGTCTCTACTGGACTCCAATATTGCTTAATATTTTCATTAATGACTTGAAGATGAGACTGAATACACACTTACAGAATTTGTGGATGACACCATTGGGTGAACTTGCAAACTCTCTGGATAGTGGGGTTGGGATTCAGAATGACTTTAATACGCTGAAGAATGATCTGAAATCAATCTTTTATATCTTGCTGTCTGAAGTGTACAAGCCACTTCTAAGAGTACACTGAAGAAAAATCTTGGGAGTTGTCAAAAAACTAAATGGAAAGGTCCTGTATTGGAAAATGGTCTTGATCAATCACAAATTGGGAGCATTTCCTGTGTGAAGGTCTGATTGTGACAGGAAAATAGGTGTAAGAAGATCAAGAGATGAGAACTGAGCTTACATATTAAACTATTGAATTCCCTAGATGGTAAAATGGACCCTTGGAGCTCCTAATGGAAGTCTCTCCAGAAATGTGTAACTTTTGGGTGAGGGGGAAGCCACCGGGAGTTAAAAATAAGAAAAAAGCAAACCCAAATTTGGAGAAAAGAAAAAAAAAAGATGAAATGCAAAAAGGTACTGGGTGGTGGGGGAGAGACAGCATGCTATGGCATAAAGAGAGGGAATGTGGATGTAGATAAGAATGTAGATGTGGATGTAGATTGCTACAGTCTACCAATTTATCACAAGGAGGGGAAGAACATTGTAGAAAAATGCAGACTGAGAAACACTTGTATAAGCTTTTTTAAGTTGGTATTAAAAACAAGATACCAGATTAGGGAGGCTGTCCTGGGAAAGAATGGAGGGAAGGACCCCGAACTAAAAAGGACAGTCCCGGGGAACAGAATAAACAGGAAGAAGAGGGAACAAACATAAAAGTTAAAACAAAAAAAAAATTTACCCACGGCAGGAGCTGTGGCACAGCCAGAATGGGGAGAGAAGCCTGCGTGGTTCGTTAGCTGCATCTTTATCCAGCTGCAGCCAGCCAATGACATCGGCAATCGCTGGCCGGCGGGAATAAAAATGACTGCCGGTGGAGCAATGGAGGAAGGGAGAGCGGACCCGAGGAGGGCATGGCCATGGGACCCACTCCAGGAATCCCTCAGGGAGGAAGGAGCACCAGATGAGGAGCCAGAGGAGGCTCCTGACGCTGATCCTGGCAGCAATGGCAGAGAACGGCTCAACAGTGTGGGAGACGAGCCAGAAGCAGCCCCTGCAATCAGCAAAGGCAGCAGCACCAGAGGGAGTAGAGAAGGGGACGTGAAGACCCACACTATAGCAGGTGGGAGTACTGGGACCAGTTGGGAGGAGGAGGAATTTTCCCCTTTGGGAGGGTCCCGGCAGAAGCAGCAGGAAGGGCTGCGAAGAAGCAGGGCACCTATCCTGAATACAGAAGGTAGCCAGCCATATGCAGAGGAACCACGAGGCTCCTGGATCAGGATGCTCCAGAAGGGAGAGAAGTGGGATAGCACCAGGCCCTGGGAAGAAGCAGGAAAAGGGGGGAAGACGACCCAAGCAGGAGGTCATGAGTACACAGCCCTGAGTAGGGGTCATCCCCTAGCTAGATCATAGGGAATTAAGGCACCCAGTACCCTGATGTAAGGGACCAAAAGAGGGGGCTACCGAGATTCCCAGTGATACGGTAAAAGTGTTGTTTTGTGTTTTTCTTTTGTGTTTCCCTGTGTGAAGGGGTTGTGAGACAGGAGTAGCCGATATGAATAGAATAATTGGTGCAGGGCCCATAGGGCATCACATTGGGATTCAGTCCCTAGGGAGGTAGTCCACTCTAGGGCGAGAATAGGTTTCATGACTGGGATCTCTGAACACAAATGACCCGGGCTGGGGTAAGCGAATTGGTCTCAAGAGCTGATACCTAGGATGGGAAGGGACTCAAGAGGCCCCACAGCTGTATGAGAAGGGGAACGTGGCCAAAAAGACTGAGCGACCCATCAAGGTGGCATAAGGTCAGGATGTAGGAGCCCTGCAAGTGACCGTCGGGCAGACTGCGTGCTGCAGGAGGACCCCGGGAAGTCAGCCCTCCACTGGGAAACATTCAAAGTCGTGGCAAGCGAGATAGGGGAAGACTACCCGAGGACTGAACATCTACGTGGCAATTTATGGGAGTCCATAGAGCGTACACCATCCGTTGCTTGAACCAAGGCTGCACATGACAGGGTGGTCAAGACCTGGCAGTCACACAGGCCATTGGTCGTATTTTCCACACAACCTAAAGAACACTAGTACAGAACAGAATTATACATTGAGAGTGCTATACCTTTCTCACAGTAGGGCTCCCCATCCTCCATATGGAACAGGCTGTTCCCGAATGGCTTCTTACAGGCAGCACAGACAAAGCAAGTTGTATGCCAAGTTTGCCTGAGGGCATGCATCACTTCCTGTAAAACACAGACAGTGGCTCACACATACTGAAACCACCTACTGGAAAACATACATTTTGAAATCAGCTAATTCTTTCCCTCAAGATATAAGACAAGCAGGTCATGTACCTTTTGAAAAGAGGAAATACAAATCTCAGTAGCAATGTTTAATCATCTGGGAAAAATCTGCCTCCATTTGGAGCACAGAAAACCTCCTAATAAGATTTATTGTCAAAACAAAACCACCAAACATCTAACAAACAGCAGCTCAGTTCAGCCAATTAAAAGCATCAGCACAGCAGATGGTTCTCTCACTGGGACAGTTGGCATGGAGGCAGTTCTCATTCCTGTCCCCCCTCCCCTTGCTTTGACATTGCTCAGAAGCTCTTAAGTACAAAGTGGAGTGATTTGCTAATCTTTATCAGTAGAAGCAACTTCTTATATACAAATACTGCAACTCTAAAAATTCTAGAAACCAGTTTTGCAAAATTATATAGCTTTTCTTTTAACATAGAAGAAAAACACAAGACCAAGAAAAGCATACTGGTGTGGAAGCATTTCAGTTCTGCTGAAAACTAGGATTTTCAGAGAAGCCTGTCTCAGACACCAAACTCTCACTGACATTCTTCTGCAGGCTCCTTTAAAAAATCCTGGTATTAATTTTTAAACCTCTGGACACGTGGACTCTCTTAAATTGACAAGTGAAAATGAATTTGCTGGTTTAAGCAAGAGGTGTAGTGGACATGTCTTTAACAACCCTCCCCCCCTCCAAAATGTTAACCTAATTCTGCACAACTGTCAGTCTTCAGTGACAGAGGGTTGGCAATAGACTGGTTGTTTTACATACAGTCCAGGTACTGACAGCTTGGATGCTTTATCCAGGAATGACTCATGCCCCGGTGGCTGGTGGGGGGGCACGGTGGTGGCAGAAGCATGGTGGCAGTAAGGTGTTGGTGGTGGGGTGGTGAGTGCTGTCCAAGGGTCGGTGACCACCTGCAGCCACCACCGGCAGCATCGGCGGCGGCCAGCAGGGAACACGGACCTCCTGCAGATGCCACCAGCAGTGATGGCGGTGGGGCCACAAGTGGCAACTTCCCTCAGGCACTGCTGACAGTGGCAAGCAGTGACCACCCACAGGTGCTGCCAACAGTGTCGGTGGTGCCTTTTTGTAGGAGGTGCACTGCCACACCAGAGGGTGCGCTTGCACCCACATGCACCCCCTACTCATCGCCCCTGGCTTTATCTAAACCAATGAAGGTCACCTGTATCTCCCAAGCAAGCACTCATACAGACCCTTCTTGCATAACATTCTTCTCTCAGACAGAACCTGTAATATTCATCCTGATTTTTATGCAGTTTCCAGTCCCTACTAAAACTTCCTTTCTGTGCAAGGAACTTTTCTCTGCCAGGTTCTCCTGAGTTCTGAAACATGACAAACTGCTAATTTTTTATTCTTACTTGTGCCCATGACAACACAGTATATTAGGGCTGTGAGAAACAGCACCATTTTGTTTCGACTTCCATTTCACCATTTCAAAGGGACAGTGTCTTATTTTGCTGTTTTGAAGCATTGTTGTTTTGTTTCATTGAAACTGTTTCGCTGTTTTGATGCTGTTTCAATACATTTCAATGTTTCGTCCATAGGCTATAACGGGGAATCACAAAATTGCCTATAACTTTGTCATTTCTTGCCTGATTCAGATGAAAATTGAAGGGATGGTAGCACCCCCTGAGGGCATGAAGCCTGACATGTTTCAAGGAGAGAGGTTCAGGGGTTTTTGTGAAACTGCACCTCAAACTGTTCAAAGCAAAACTAATATCACTTGCTGGCAGCTGCAGCCTGCTGTCATCCTGCATGCAGATCTGAGGGCCCAGTCCCCAAAGGAGGAGTCTGGCACAGCTCAGCAGCCCTCCCAGGGGGTGCAGCTCCCTGGATCTGCATGCGGGATGACAGCAGGCTGCTGCTGCCATCTGGGGCCAGCACCAGCACTGGGTTCTTCCCAACACTCAGCACAGGCTGCGCCAGGCAGACTTGGGAGCTTTAAAAAAAACAAAAAAGCCCCACACTTGCTGCAGCAGTGGCAATTGGGGTCTCTGAGGGCTTGTGGCAGAGCCTCCCCCATAAAGTGTGGAGCAGTGGGGATCCTCCCCTCCACCTGGCACCTGCACGGCAGCCGCACCATCGTGTAGGTACAGCATGGCTTGGCAGCAGCTGCTGAACTGGCCCCAGCCTGCAGTGGCAGCCTGCTAAAACCTGGTGCACAAATCAAGGGCCCACGCCCCCTGGGAAGAAATGGGGAAATTATTAGAGAGCTGGGGAATTGAACTGAGAGCTAGATGTCAATATCAGAGCTGTCCTTCCTCCCTCCCTCTCTTTAATTTCTGTTTAGCTGCAAGCAAGCTGGTTTCGAAACTCAAAACATTTAGAAACTTTCAAAACATTTTGAGTGCCCTCATTTAGTTTCAAATCTTTTTCAAAGCCTTTCGTTTCATTTCAATTTCACTGTTTCAAGCTCAAAACGAGTTGAAACAGCTTTAAAACAAAACATTCCTCAAAATTTCGCACAGCCTTACAGTATATCCCTGAGAGCTAGTTTAGGAATTCAAAGGGCCAGAGACACAGCTAATGTAAATTAACCTAGCTTTATCAACTTCATGGATTTTAATTGGCTGGGGATGTTGCCCAAAGCAGTTACAAACTAGCCTGTTGGTGGAGTAACTTTTTGAGATGTTTTATCTCCTTTTTTATCCTGCTCCTGATTCATTCTGAGGTTCTTGCTTCTTACATATTTTTAACCTTTGTTGACTGAGGCACAAGGGAATGAAGTTAATTGAAAGCTTTCATTCCATTGCTTCAACTGACAGATTACACAGTCCCTCATTTATATTTGTCCTTTCTCTCATTACAGAAACACCAGTAATATTCACTAACTTCTGTTACTGTTTGCAAAACAATTCTGTCTGACAAATAGTCTTGGATGAACCTCACAGGCTAAAAAGCAAGAAACAGATTGACAATCTTATTAATGCAAACAGAAGCAGCTGGTAACTTTGACAGTCTACTAATGAAAATCCATAAAAGAGAACTGACTTGTGCTGGCATTAACTGGAGAAGTATTGAAGTGACCTTGCTTTAAAATTACTCCTAAATCTCTAGAAACAGGACTTCACTGGGGCTAAAACCTGAATATTTGATGCTGAGTATCTGATGACCCAAGTATATGCTGCTCTTCCTAACTGGTAATAAAGCACTGTCTTCCAGGGCCCAGAGATGTCAGGGGTAGAGGCTGACTGGTTAAAGCCATCGCTCTCTTTCTCATGTGCCAGTTTTGGAGAACTGGTCACATCTTGGGCATCCATGCTTGAAACAACTTTTCTTACCCACTGCTAAGATTGTAATAATCTTTTGCTACTCTAGTAACATTATCTGCTATCTAAGGATGGATTGCCAATCATTCTCATACGTAGGCATGAACAATATTAAAAGTATGTAAAATATAAAAAAGTGGGCTTTATTTTTTCCTTTCTTGTTTTCACAGTTCCATTAATTTTAGTTACTATCCCTTAAATTAATTTCTGGAGCAAGTGAGGTGCACAGAGAGATGGATGGGCCTACTCCATAGAACTTTGACTTATTACAACATTTGATGAAGAACCGTGTGAAGGAGATTGCACACTTTCATGTGTGCACATTTTTGACTACCATTAGCAAGAGCTGTAGAAGCAACATACTATCTTATGATGATATCAAAGAAAGGGCATGAAAGAGTAGAAAAAAATTAGAATGCACTTTTTAGATTTTAAAATCTGTATAAATAGATAAATGTAGTCTGTTAAATCCAAGATTTCAGCCATCTTTCTAATCCCAGATGTTTCTTATTTTAGGAGAATTATCAGACTAGGAAACTATTATTAAAACAAGCTGGAAAAAAAAATCAATACTGAATTAGATGTCTATAATCAAAATAATTCTATTTCTAATTTCAGTGGAGTGAGGATTTAGAACAGAAGTTGTGCTGTTCTTCAGACTTACCCCCATGATCTTGGTATGGCATCTGGCACAAGTTGGTGCAAAGAACTGCTCATAACAACGCTCACAATAGACACTGTTCTGCTCCTCCACAAAGCACACATCTGCCAATGAAGTCTTGCAGTAAGCACAGTTGAACTCTTCTGGGTGCCAGGTCCGACCCATGGCTACCAGGAAAGGACCCCTGTGAAATATTATTACTTTATTTGTATCACAAAAGCATCTAATGATCCTGATGCTGCACCACAAAATACCAATATCTAAGATGAATGATACTATCGAGGGTGCTTTTTAAAATAAGGTCCTGCAACGGGTCTCTTCCTCAACAATTTTGAAGAAAAAATGTTGACAATTACCTATAATATTTCATAGTTAAAAAAAGAAGAGTTCAAAATTACTGCTGGAAAGACTTGCACTTTCTTTATCCAATGATGGTCTTTGTTGATTTTGCTGGGTGGTGACCAGGTGACCTCCCAGCAACAGGTGACCAGAAGAAACTGTAAACTGCTTGCATAGAGAAGGGCACTTAAAATAATTCTTAAAAAATATCACCAAAATTTAGAGGCATCATAAATATAAAACAACAGGGTGAGTTCAAACAGGAAACTCTCATGCTAACTTTTGTAATATGGAGTACAAAGCTGACATTTGAGAGCATGACCAAACTTGCTAACAGTTAATATGCACATCCATAGCTTATAGCAGCTTTAAAAAAATTCTGCTTTCTTGCACATTTTAAATGACAGCTGCATTCCCTGTGTCCTTATATATAAAATCAGATCATCAGAATGGCGAACTAATTAAGCTGAAGACAAGTTAATTTTTTTGAGGTGATTTACTCTTCTTTATACAATTAGATATAGTAATTAGAATACTGTTTTATTACTGAAGTTTGCCTATATGGGAGAACAGAAGAGTGACAATCAGCAATTCTCCAGTGCCAAATTAGTTCCATCTAATGGAGAAGACTGTCATTAAGCCTGGATTACTTGAAGTCAGGCAGCATTCAATGGGGTAACAATAGGGATCAGTTTAGCACAAGGAACTGAAGGATGGGAAGGGAGAAAAATGCAGTGAATCACTAGAGTGCAGGCATTATCTTTCTCCAGATACAAAAACAGCAATTACATTTGGCTGCTACTTCAAAATGATGTCTCATTCTCCTCCCTCCCCTCAAATCCTTCCTCCCCAACTTCCTAAGCTCTACACAGTGTCCTTCTAATTTAGATCCTGATGTACCTGGGTGACCAGAAACATGGTGAAAGAAAAAAAGAAGGAAAAGATTACGTTAGAAAAGATACCATAGCATCCTTGAAATAAACGATTACCATAAGCAACTTAGCTGTGATAGAAAGTGTGATAGAAATACATAATAGCAAAAATCATCTCTGGAAATGCTAAATTAATTAAGTTGACAGCAATCATCCCTTATGGGTTATTTAACTATATCTCAAGTTCTGCACTTGTATAATAAAGCACATAATCAGCTGCTCTGTGATACTTTTCCTCCTATCTACCCTACCCCACCCCACCCCACAACCAGAGGCTCATAAACTTACCGAATGATGCTGTTACAGTGTCCGCAGAGAGGCGTTCGGCTGCTGGCTGGAAAACGCTCAGCCCTTTGAATAGTTCCCCGGGCTACAGCAGGAGCCTGGGAGGAGGCTGAAATTGAAGTCGGGTAGGCTAAAGTTGAGGCAGGAGATGGTGCTGGAGCACCCCGTGGCAGGATATGTTTGGTGACACTGGTGGTAGTTTTCCCAGGTGCAAATTTCTGGGAAAAGGAGTCATCTGTAACCCAGGGAGGACGGCTTGCCGGCTCTGCTTGGCCTGGCATGTAAGAATGTGCTGGTGCTGGGGTCGGCGCCAGGGCTGATGCCGGGGCAGGGGCTGTTTTAAACATCCAAAGAAAACCATGGGCTAGTTTAAAATTTTTTTTTTAGAATACAAACATGCACAAAAATAATCGTCATGCCACAACAAACAAACAGAAGCTGAACATGACTCTTAATTATAGCCTCCCCCATTATCACAGATCAGTGTTGGAGTGAATCCCAGGATATCAGCATGCAATCCCTGGTTCCATATCCAAATAGATTGTAGAAGCAATTATTTCTGTGTTTTCATGGAGTTTATAAAGATGACTTAAAAGAACAACGCTGTGTTAAATTTTATTTAGCAGGAGACCATATATATAAATTGTTGTGATTACCAAGGACTAGCATTTCACCTATATTAATCTGGGTTAAAAATACAATGGCAAACTAGATTCAAAGGGCTAGACCAAGTCATTAGCTCTGAAGCAAAACTTGCAGTGATTTTAACAGAAAGTTCTGTTTAAGTACTAGTATCAGACTTTGCCCTGGATCTGCCATAGACTTTGGGCATAACTTTGAAAAAGTCAATCATTTTGTGCCTCAGCTCCCATTTGTTAACAGAGACATAACTTCCTTTCTCCCACCCTTTATCTACATTTTTTATTTAGACTGGTTTTTGCTGCATGTTTGCATAGTGCCTAGCACAAAAGGATCCTGATCATGAAAGAAGTCTTATACTACCAAAAATAACCAGACTCTAGAGTCTGTACTCATGGAAAAGTTCCTCTATTATCTCCTTTCCTTCAAAAATTGCAGAGCCAGTGCTCAGTAAGACTGAGGATTTAACCTAAGAAACTACCACATATGCCAGTCACGATGTAGTAAGAACAGTCTTTATTTATTTATTTTTGCAAATGAAAAAAGGAAGCAAAAATCTCTTGATCTATATAGTGAAAAAGAGAACAGGATAATCAGGAAGGGTGTTGCATCCATCCATTCATGTGCTCTTTACTCTTGTCCATCACAGTGCTGCCCTGCTAGTAATGACTAACTGTAGGACAGCCTTCCTTCTCAGTAAAATAAGTGTCTTGTTTTGACAAGATTCAGGCAAATATATAATAGGAGACAGGGACGGAAAGGCAAGGGAGGTATTCATTGAGCCACTGAGGATCAGCTATGAGCCCTTCTTTTCAGGGAACTTTCTCTACTGACAAAGCTCAAAAATAAGGTTTTGGGGTGATGACAACTCTGGAGCCACAGAGAGTTGAGACAGAGAGAGACCCTCCTGATTTTGCCTAGACTGCTAGAGAACCTTAACAGACCAGGGATGCAGGGCTGAGGAATAGGGGGTAAATACAGTTAGTAGGACACTGGCAAGGGGTAAGGAGGAAAAGAGTAGTCTGGGTTGAACAAAACACCCATAAAAGTGCCAGAAGCTCCTGGTGCTCTGTTTGTGCTAGTGTCGCATATTGCTGAGATCTTTCTTTTTGTAAATTTTCCCACGAAAGAAATTGTGCAACAGGGGGTGCCCTGCAGAACTCAGTGCATAGACAGATACTTGGGTGCTACATACACAGTCCTTCTTTATGAAAAGAATATTAAGGCCTTACAAATACTTATTCTCATACATTTAACCATATTCCTCTGTGTTTATCTAGAGATCATACACTACTATATCACAGAATTTCCCTCACATAGAACCATATTGCTTCCCTCACAGTTAGAATCTTTTGAGCTATAGTACAGAACCCAACTTCAGCTAAGAGGATAAGCAAGTCTCTGTAAATTGACCTTCAGTATGTGGGTCAGCCACTACAGAGAAAAATTTACCAGTGGGCTTTAGAAATATTTGCTGACAGTAGAGGAATGCTGATACTCAGGAATCCTGAATTCTATTCCAGAATATTTTGCTCCGGTTTCCCCTAAGCCTGATCCCTTCTGTTCTGGTCCTTTCTGCGTATCCTTGTTCAGTCTCAGCTTGCCTCCCCACTTTTTACAACCCCTCACAACTCCTACAATCCATGGAGCATCCTCCTTCCCTATCTCAAGATGTATGAAGTTTAAGTGTCTTCCTCACTTCAGAATGTAGGTATCTGGAGTCCCATTTCTGTGTGCCATATTTTGGGCCACAATGTCTACCAGCTGGTGTTGGAAGGGAACAGTAGGTTTAAGGTATTGAGAAGAATGAAGATGATTCCCAGGATAGCGGAGGGCAAGTGAAAGGTATCGTAATTAAGCCAGGAAGAAGTTTGGGACTATAAGGGTGCTTGTACACGTGATTCCATTAACATGTACACATGATGAAAATGTCACTGTGTGGCTTAATGGCATCACCCTGTACATGTTCAATAGTTCTGGGAGTTTTAAATGACTTTGCATCATTGCAAACTAAACTACATCCAGATGTAGTTCAGTTTGTAATTATGCTTTGCAGCTGTCAGCTCACCCCCCAGGTTGCAGGAGAAGCAGGCAGGTTCCACAGAAGAAAAGGATTGGGCCCCTCACTATTTTTGCTTTCAGCAGGTGTCTGCTAAAAGGCAGAAGTGGCAAGGGCCAGACCCCCCCTTTTTTCTTCTGGCAGAGCCTGCCCACCTCTCCCACAGACAGGGGGTGAGGTGCCAGTGGGCTGAGTGGCCCCTGAGCTGGAGGGGGCCCTGCTCCTTCCCTCTGTTGTTGCGGCACTCCCCAGGGCCACCCGGGTAGGCAGCTAGTGGGCTGGGTGCTGCCCAGCTCAGAGGCAACACCCAGCTTGATCCAACTCTTTCCCAGCCCCAAGCTGGCTAAGGCAGCACCCAGCCCACTGGCAACCCACCCAGACAGCCTCAGGGGGCACCACTGCCATGAAGGGAAGGACCAGGGCCCCCCACAGCTCAGGGGTTGCTTGACCCACCAGTAGCTCACCCCCCAACTGTGGGCAGACTCCAACAAAAAAGGGATCAGGTCCCTCACCATAATGTGATGTAAAAATAGAAATGGTGGGCTTCAATTAAAAACCCACTGTTTCAACTTAAGAAAGAAGTATATGCCCCTTATTCTGCCATATATATACCCAAAACTGTGACTTTGATGATTTGTAATAATAGTGGCTCCTGCCTTTTTACAGAAAATGTCTGTTTGCTAGAGGTGCTAGAGTACAGGCA